CAAATTTCTTAGTATTTGCTAAACTCCAAGTCCTTAGGAATTAACATGTTTTCACTGAAAAACAAGTCAAATCTTCCTGAGTTTGTCATAAGCACTCATTTTCACCAGGAGAGAAGGTCTCCTCAACACCAGTATTTTAGATACACACTAGAGACTGCACAATATCATTACTTCATCTTAAAACATCATTCAGGCACTCTAAATGTTTTGTTAGGCAAGATTATCTATCAAAATAAGATATGAGTTCAGAACTAAAACTTTTTCCTACAGTATTTAAGTTACTGAACCTAGCCTGAAATTCTTATGTGCTACTTTCTAGGTTTATAAGATTTCATCAAATGGTTAAATCCATGGAAACTTGAGCCAACTAGAAAAAGCTTCAGTATGTTCTAAGCATTGCAGCACTTTCTTCTTGTTTTAGAAACTATTAGTGACAGCTTGGAAGAACAGCTTATGAAAATTAGCTAATCATACTTAAATATTTTAAAATCTCCAAGCATCTCTCACTGAGTTGGGTTTTATTTTTATATTTAAGTTATGGATGAGAACCAGCACAGTCCACAGCACAAGACACATATCTGTACTGTACAATGACATGCTTAATACTGCCTGTTTCCTTAGTTTTTTTTGCAGCACTATTACACATAAACTAATGCTACATTACTTAGAAGTATAGTTGTAGCTCAATTTCATGTAAAAAGCAATATACAATCACCATTTACTTCAATATTTTAATCTTCCTTTTTCTTGTAAATACTAGAACAAAAACCTGTGTCTTCATTCTCAGTTTCTCAGCACAATTTCTTCCCCCCCCCCGCCCCCCCTCCTTTAGACACTGGGAAGCATCATAAAATAGCATACAAAAGCTAACTTATAAGCCAAATTACTTCAGTGGCATGCTAGGATATCTTTCTCGTGCACTTAAGCAGCAACACTCATTTGAATGGTGTCCAACAGAAGTATTTATTTTTAAGACCCTTTTTCAGTAACTGAATTTAAGACATTGATTTTACAATGCCTGGTATAGAACACAAATTCAGAAGTGTTCAGTCTTACAGTATCACTAATTTTGTGTGCCTATAAAAGACTTCTAGGCAAGTCCAAAACACATATATTGTAAAAACATCAAGATGACAATGGAGCTTTACAGCTGTTAAGTCTGCCAGTAAGGAAAAATGGTTCCAGTACATCTGATAGATTGGACATGTTTTCAAAATTATCTCATGAATCTTTAAGATCGTTTAAGTTAAAAAAAAAAAAGCTGTGGGAAAGTTAATTTAAATTAAATGGGAAGACTTCACCTTGCACTGGAGTTAATGGATCTGGTCTCTAGAACTGTAAATCATACTTCATATCTACTGAAATGAGAAAAAGAATTCGGGTTAGTACCAAACAACTTAGGATAAATTGTCTAGCCAGATACTACTGATGGGAGAAAGCCAGAGTTTGAGCAGATTCTGATTTAAGATACAGATAAGTAGATTTGCAATAATCTCATTAAGAGAATTCTCTCTCATCTCTTAAAACACTTCCCAGTTCTGTCTCTGTTACTGAGCTTTATTTCTCTATTACATGAAGGCAGTGTATCTTAACATATAAATACAGTCTTGATTTTTTTCCCTTCCTTCTCTTCCCCTCCCCCCTTTTTTTTATAAAGGGAAGGAAACAAATCCAGTAATAGAATTCATAGCAATGTTTAGCACAGCTCTTTTTGCTACTACCCCACCTATAGTTATCTTTCCAAGAAAACAGCAGTGAAGAATAATTAACATTTAGTACCATTTACGTCCACATGGGAGTGCTAAGCACGTACCATAAAAATGTCAATTTACAGTGGTTTCAAGTATACGTTAATCATTTCTGGCATTGGAATTAAGCATCTGTAGCATGACCACATAGCAGCACACTTCTTTAAATGCTCAAGTTAACCTTTTAAATCCAGGTTTAAGTTTAGGTTAAGCATTTGAGAAAGCTTGTTTCATAAATGCAAAGTACCTAACAGTGTCTGGGAAGTTCAACAAGTAAATGCTCTTCAGTAGACAGAAGGAGCATTTTATTTATAGTCACAGTACAGATGCAGCTTGTGTATCATCTGTAAGAAAGATTATTATTGTAACTCGAGGAAAAATAGTTGCAGTGACATACTGCAAAACATCGGGCATATACAGTCCAAATAAGCCTACAATCGTGTGATCGGTAACCAAAGTCTGTTTCTCCTGTTCTTTTTACCCACTACAATCCTTTTTCCTCTTAGGATGAAACCATGTTTTCAGTTTCATAGTATTTATACATAATGATCACTCAGTTTTTAAAATTAGTAATTTTTCTGTACCAGCTGTGGTTTGTAGTGGACAAACTACTATAGCAGTAAGCACTAGCATATACCATTACTTACCCCATTTCATCACCTTACATATAGGCCTAGAGTCTTCAAATACAGCTATACCACCCAAATTGGCAAAAGCAATTTAAAGCTACTGAGATAGTACAGAAGCAGGGTTTTCTGCTAATTAAACACACACACACACCACTTTGAGGGCTTTGATACAATGGAGAAAATTGAAGCACTTAAGGGATGGCCGAGCCAGAACAGGAGTCAAGTATTTTGAGCTAGGGCTGCTATTTAAACTGTCTTTTTCTATTACAGTAGAAGTTTCTATCAAATTCAGCAGTAGAATGAAAGCTTACACTGCCCAACAAAAGCATAACCATTCCCTGGTTCTATTTCATCACTTCCATATTTTTTCCTTCCAGAAATAGGAATAACTGTAAAAAAAGAAAACTAAACGCCTCATCCTGCATGAAGAAACAAATCCCACTGAGACGTGGTGGTTATGCAGACAATTAGCTATCTAGACTATCACAGTATTATTATTCAGCCACCAGATGAAAACCACTGTTTAAGCTCCTTACTGGAACACTTTTCATCGTGTTATTTTCAAGGCATGGTTACCACTAATGAAATTCATTCATGGTTTCTAGAAGATAGTATTACAACAAGTGGCTTAATATGACTGTATTTAAGATATCACAAAGCTTAGAATTCAGCTTCAAAAGAAGTATTATGCCCTATGAAGCAGTATTGATATAACAAGTATCTTGGGAGATTTACAGACTGACATCGAACAGATTCATTTATACAATACAGAAAAAAGACTTTCATATATATGTTTTGATACTGGCTTTTTAGCTGCTCCAGGTCTGGCAGGAGCAAGCAAATGAACACACAGCTATGTCCATACACACACCACTTCCAGGGGCATGTTATAAGATTCTAAGAAGCTTGTTTTAAATAACAAAACCAAACATAAGCAGAATTTCTTTCTTAGCTAAGTTTTACCAAGGATATATTGGAAAGAAAATTATTTATTGTATTACTTTGATAACGCACAAAAATATTTGAAATGAACATTAATAATATTCTCATGTACAACTCATAGCAATTGATCCCCTTAACTGAAAAAAACCCCGTATTTGAATAGTCTGTATTGCATTTTATAACTTTAACTGGACTTTTTAAAAACAAGTTCTCATTATTTAAACTGTGTTCACACTCGTCACTCAGTTCAAGACATTCTTAAAATAAGCAGCATTTCCTTTATATTAGTATCACTTCAACACTTAATGCAGCTTTATCTTTGCTACCAGGTTTTACTGAAGATTTGAAAATAAAATTGAGTTAACTGCAGAAATTAATACAGAACACAAATGGTTAAACATGGTATGCTAATTTTCTACTTTGCTTTCCCAACAATACAAAACCATAAAAACCAGCAAGAACCAGGTAGCTGTTAATTTGCGGTTTTGTTAAGTGTTTGCCATGGTAATTTCCCACATTCTCAGCCAACGTGCTTAAATAGCCATTTTAGTTGGACTGAAACCCGGGGGGGCGGGGGGACGGGTGGAAGGAATCTGCATGTAAGTTCTAACACAGTGTCATTTAATATGAAATGGTTTTAGGTAACAATTGAAGAAATGCTACTGTTGTAGGTATTCATCTTGGCGCTTTTTTTGGTTTTTTTTAAAGTCAGTCACAGAAATGTGTGCCAACAGGTAAAAAAGAAATTCAATACAGAACTATGGCTCCCAAGCAAACTTGCTACATAGTTTCAGCAAAAGACAGCTACTAAAATTAAAAAGTTTATTTTAAATATAGGCCCATTTTGGACCTGGCCTTGCATTCCTCAAGCAGGTGAGATCTGTAGGACTTCTGCCCAAATTAAGAACTGTATGATCACTCTTTCCAGTAAGTAGCTTTGTTTAGTATGTGTTTAACTACACAGCAGTGTGTGCTTTTGTGTGCATATGCATGTACATAGGCTGATAGGCACTGTATAGCTGTATACACAAGGCCAAACTGCAATTAAAGATTTAGACTTTGAAACTGTGTCCTTTTTTAAAAATAAAATTTTAGGCTCCTTGAGCTCTGATGTTAGCAGCTATTCCTAATTTGCAAAGTCATCAGGTAGCACAACAGTTTAAATATAAAATTACTAATAAAAATGTAAAAATTGGTATATAGTAGAATATATGGGAGATAATGGTGGTAAGTAGTATTTTAGGGTCATAAGCTATTCATATCCACAGAGTGTAAAAAAGTCAAGACTCGCTGCCAGCTGTACCAGTCACACAAAGGCCTTACCTTCATTAGCAAAAATAATGTAACAAACCACTTCCCACAACTGTGGTGTGTTTTTTTTTTTTTTTTTTTATATACCTCAGTACGCCGATATTGTGCCTTTACATTTTAGCATGTTTTTGCCCTTATGCACTCCAAAACTCTGAAGATGAGATTTTTGGGTGCTTCTGTGGATGAGTGATAGTTAGCAATGAAAGTGTTAATGTGGTCTTTGGCACCTCTATCTCATTAGTAAAGCAAAGCCCTGCTCCATTTTTTCTTCAATAAAAAAAATCCCATCAGTGGTGCATTCTGTTAGCACTGAAGAGCAGAATAGGTCTCTACAGCCTGATGATAGGAAAACACAAAATGGCAATATGTGTGTCTACAATTGTCTTTCCAATCAATTGCACAGAAGCTTGGTCCACGTCTTCAGTTACAGTGTAGTCCTCTTAAGAACTTTGGTTACAGCGTTAATGTCTTGGTAAAAAAAAAAAAAAAAAGAGCAGATGCTTTCCTTCTTTTCTTCAGGTAGATTTTTCATTGTCCTCTCCTGTCTTCTGAACCCGTGAATACTTTTTGCATGAAGATTTGAAGCAGCTGGGAGGCCAAGATATCGGCCAGGAAAAGCTGCAAGGAACAGAGCCTTGCACATTCTTCTCGAAGAAATAAAATATTGGATACCACCATGCTCGAGAGAGAAAATTTGTCTGCGAAGAGACCTTTAAAGTCTGTATTGGCACAAGCAGGTAAAGAGGAGAAGGAAACAAACAATCAGTTTAAAGCATTATAATCAATTATGTTGAGTCAAGACAACTACAAAACTGCAATATATTTGCCTGTATTTCTGCAAAGAAGAGGTGCATTTAGCCTAGAAAAAACAGTATTGAGATAGCATATACATCATAGTCCAAGTGTGTACTCCAAACTGAGCATCTTTAACACAAAGGGATGCTTTGTTGCTGTACACAACTTTGGGAGAAGCACTCACGTCTTTTTGAACATGAGTTTTCAGGCATGTCATGTTTCCATTGATTACTAATAGTTGAAAACTAGATTAAAATGGCTTGATAGCTATGTTCCTACTTGAACGTGTTCTTGAAACAACTGCAGCAGGTATTTTTACTTTAGTGACAGTTCTGTAAATGTCACTAAGACTTTTAGGATGGTCTAGGTAATTAAAGGTTGGTCAAAAATTTTATTACTGAACTACTGCTTATTCATAAGCTTAGACAAACACAGGCTATTCTATACATCCACTATAGCAATAAAACCTTGAAGTTCAAAAGGTATTTTTAAGCCAAAATATCAGGAGTATCAAAAATGACTTTATAAAAAAATAAATTTGGAAATAACTTAATAACAGGCACAGATCAAAAAAGAACATCTTAATCCATTAAATATTTACTTAAACCACAGTAAAGTAAAACCCTTGCCCAGTTTGTTTAAACTTCAATATGGAACCTCTACTTTTGTTTCAAAATTGAGAACCAATTTTGACCTTTGAGCAGTATTAACAAGTACAGGCTATACATTGATTCTAAAGTTATTTGCCACTCACCTTTTCATTAGCCATTGAGTGGTACCACCAGAAAAGCCGTGTGGTGATATAGTAAGCAATGATGACGTCTATGGTATAGTGTTCATGAGCAACAAGGATACAAATTATGCCAGCAGCACTCATTAGCCAGCAGATTAAGTGATACCACCAGAAATGACGTGGTGAATCTGTGAAATAGGGAGGTGACGGGAAGAAAAAAAAGACACACAAAAGCCACATACATTATTATAGCAATCCACAAAGGGAAGGGGAAGAGATTAAAAAAAAAAAAAGATTATTTAATTAAGGCTACTAAATTTTAAAATACAACTCATTTACACCACACTGGTACAAGAACCCTGTTTTGACACAGAAAACAAGACTAAAGCATTATGCAAACATTTGTAAAATGAACCCCAGTGAGCTTGCAGTTAGACAGCACCATCACCCATTTTCTAGTCAAATTAAGCAAGTTTTCCAGTTAAATCACTTCTAGGGTATGGGGTGCAGTGGAAGAGATGGAATTGAGGCAAGACACACACTTTCGTTATTTTACTTGGTGTATTGAATCTCTGCTCTTTTTAAAGTCTATGCTCAAGTGAACTTACACTCAAGTAAAATGGCTAGAATTGATATAACTTGAGCAGAGATCACAGACTGAACAGGCAAAGACACTCTTATTTTAATTCCTAGGTTTTAACTACTCTGCATGAAACCTTTGACCTGTGAAACAGAATACACTGTACAGGGAAGTACAGTATGTGAATTTACACCCTTTCATTAAAGATTAACAAATGGGAGTGAAGCTATTCTTCAAAATGCATTTAAGCCACTTCAGCGGTAAAG